GGTAGCCCCATGTAGAGCATGTTGCAGTAGTCCAAGCGGGAGATAACTAGAGCATGCACCACTCTGGTGAGACAGTCTGCGGGCAGATAGGGTCTCAGCCTGAGACTTGAGAAGATTCCTGGCCCTCCCCTCCTCCTTGCAAAAGGGACGCTTTTTTAACTGTTCACTTACTTCATCATCCACTGCAATTCTGGAAAGTATCGCCTCCTAGCTCTGGGATTGTCTTTTGCTCATTACCCAGAGCTCAGGGCAGGTTCTCCCCCCTTTGTGTCCAGCTGAGAGACTTCTGCCTAAGTGGTTTTCTTGATGGGTTAATGACTCTGCCTTTGTGTCACAATGATCCATCCTTGGCGATTCCCTGGTCAGGAAAACAAGTCTAGCCTGTATTTTTGTGCTACTAAATCCATTGATTGAACTCCAACATTTACTAAAGCTGGGAATTATGAGCTTTGTTCAAATCCTAATCACTTTATTGAATCCAGAGATTTTAGGGGAGTCCCCCCCCCAATTTTTTAAAATAACAATATGCATACAGTAGGCAGCATTTGCATGATATATAACAAGCAGATAATGGGCCTAGCCAGGATTTTTGGTAGCGGGTGTGTGTGTGCAGGACCTCTGTTTGCTATGTATTTTTATTTATTTTTATTTATTGGGGGGACAGCTCCCTCCCTGCCCCTCCTTGGCTACATCCATGAAGCAGATTATGGAGATGTGGTGATTACCATTTAAAAAATATTTAGGCTTCAGTCCAATGCACACATACTTGGGAGTGAGTCGCTTTCATTAAGCTCTGGGTAAACATTCATAGGATTGTACTTCTATTTATTTTTTAAAACATGTGGCTTTTAAAATACTTGAGTTCTCAAAGAAGGGAACAGCAAAATAAAAAGTCAGCTCATAAAAATACAGTAACTAAAATTAAAAGTTAAGCAGTGACAATCTACAAGCATATAAGAGGAGGAAAATCAAATCAAACAAAGGCTAGATTAAGTTAAACAACAAAGGCTAGATTAAGTGAAATCAGCTTATTTATGAGACCTTGCCAGCAATTCCTCATGATAAGGTTAAAAATGGATGGAAACAGGTACATAACAGGTTGAAAGATTCAGCTTTGATCATTTCACTCTCCACATCACCTTTACGCCAAAACGTTCAGCCAAATGAAACATTCTTCAGTTGTTTGGTGCCCAGAAAGAAAAGGATGGAGCAGGTAGAGACATACTATGGTTTACATATGAAGAACAGTGTGTCGTTCCCTCTACACACCTGATGGAAGTATGGAAATGTGGTCCCATTCCAGACGGCAAACCTCTTTTGAAACAGAGTGGAACTTCCTAAACAGTTTGCGATACAGTCTGGGGGCCTCTGCTCTACTAAATATGTGGGGGAAATTAATAAACCCGGCATGTTCATCCAAGTCCTTGGGTGCATCAAAAGTCACTCTGTGGATCTTGGCCAGATAACAATGCAAGAAATACTTGAGGCAATGAAAAGCTCTAAAAATGGCAAGTCTCCAGGCCCGGATGGCTTTACGGCAAAATATTATAAGAAATTAAATGAACAATTAGCGAACCCATTGAAAGATGTCATGAATGAAATATTGAACACAGGCAAAATCCCAGAAACATGGAAACAGGCCTATATAACAGTAATTCCAAAACAAGACGCAGATTTGCTGCAAACTAAAAACTATAGGCCTTGTTAGTTTCTGCTTTCCTTCACTGTGCAGCTCTGCTTGTCACGAGACAGGTGTTTACATTCCACAGTCTGTACTGTTGGAGTTTCTCACGGGAAAGGGAGACTGGATGTGACGTACACTGGTTTCCTGTTTTTCACTGTGTGATTCTCTCCGAGCTGTCGAGGAGAGAGGATGCATTTTCTGCTCCGGCAGAGGCAAGATGTCTTTCTGTAATATACCAGCTTTGAACTGTAAATAAAGCAATATAGAGTATGTAGCACGTATTCCTCATCCTTCCGCTGGGCACCAGACTCTGCTTTAAATCAACACGTGGTTATGGGCCCAGAAGTCGAATCGGAGTGCCGGCAAAGGATCGGAATGCAGAGGGACAGATCGGAACGGAATCTGCTCTGCGCGTAGAAGTGATTGATGAGGTATGTGCTACTGCTCCGGGCAGCCTGCCAGCTTCAAGTTAATGGCTTTATGGCTGGACTTTGAACTTTTAAAGCCGGTTTTGCCGGGAATAGGCAAAAGGCTCCCAGGCACAAGTCACTATGCTGGGGAAATCGAAGTAACTTTTAAGTGCGCCTTTGTAATAAGGCAGCTGCAGCAGTGACGCAGCAAGATTTAAAGCAGAATATATATGACGCTGAAGGCTAATGCCAGAGTCATGATGGCCCTTCAGGATGCTTGTGGGATTCCTAAGCTCAACAAGAAAAATTACAGCGACTGGGTTCAGTATGCAGAGGCAATTCTGCGGAAAGAGGGTTTGTTTGAGGTGATTACAGGAGCCGCCCCAGTTCCAGTTACAGATGCATGGGAAGCTAAGGATTCCAAAGCAAGGGGAACTCTTACATTGATAGTATCCCCAGAAGAGCTCTGTCTATTGCGTGATAAGACCTCAGCCAGAGAAGTTTGGGACGCTTTGAGAGAGGCTCACTTAAGGACAGAAGCTGGATCCACTATGTTTTACTTTAACAAGCTGCATAATATGGCTCTTGCTGAAGGTGGAGATGTGCGTTTACATCTGATGCAGATGCAAAATCTGAGACATGAGCTGCAACAGAGAGGACTCAACTTTCCAGAGGCTGTGTATTCTTTCATGATACTACAATCTTTGGGTTCAGGTTGGGAGTCTGTTGCAACCCAGATTGCTGTGCAACCAACTGCTCAGCTGACAGTGGACTTTGTTACTGCCGTGATTTTAAATGAAGCAGATCGCCGGGGTGCTAGCTGCATGGGCAAGGGGAGTCTTCACAGACGTCATCCCATAGTGCAGTGGAACCACCAGATGGCGCCAAAGCTTTGAAGGCAGTGAAATGCTACTCGTGTGGACGTCTAGGCCATATGAAGAGGGAATGCAGACATCCCAGGGCCAAGACAGAGCAGCGCAGCGAAAGCTCATCGCGCGGAAAAGGCCGAGGCAAAGGCAAAGGTCCGGTGTCTAGGACAACGCAGCACAAGGCTATGGTTTCACGCTTCACTCCAAAGGTTGCAGAGGTCCAGAAGACGTCTAGATCTTTCTTCGTTGTTGATTCAGCGGCCACCCACCACATGTGCAACGATAAGAGACTGTTTGTGTCTTTTACACCGCAGGAAGGTGCGATTCACCAGGCGGATGACCACACTATTCCCAGTAAAGGCTACGGAACTGTTGTTCTTCACAGTTTGGACTTATCGATACAGAATGTGCTTTACGTGCCAGACGCCAAACATAATCTGCTCAGCGTTGGACAGCTGAATGAGCGGAACATTGACGTTTCCTTCAAGAACAAGAAGTGCATCATCACAAAGAAAAATGATTATGTATTGCATGCAGAATATGTTGATCATTTGTTTGTTTTGTATTATGATGATGTGGTGCAGGATGACACTTGTTGCATTGCAGGTTCTAACAAAAGTTTGCATGCAGAATGTATTCACGATTTTCATCGAAAATTTGGTCATTTGCATTTTGAGGCAGTATCTAAAATGCCTGCCTTGGTTGAAGGTATGACTATTAAAACCCTGCAGGTACCACATGAAGTGCAAAGCATGCGCAGCAAACAAGGTGAAAATGGCTGCGAAAGGTAAGGTGTCTAGTAGGAAAGCTACAGAACCATACCAGGTTGTTCATGCTGATTTGGTTGGACCACTAGCGCCCTCTTTGGGTGGAAATAGATACTTCATGGTTCTCATTGATGCATTTTCTAGATATATTTTTGTGTACAATCTCAAGCAGAAATCGGAGGCTTTTCCTAGGTTCAAGGAATTCTGTGCTTGGTTGGAAAATGTGCATGGTAAGAAGATAAAGACTCTTTTCAGTGATCGCGGGGAATTCACTTCTCAGCAGTTTGAAGCTTTTCTGACTGAGAAAGGAATTCAACACGATTTGTCTAGTCCTCGCTCGCCATGGCAGAATGGACTTGCGGAACGGGCAAATCAGACATTGCTTCAAGGGTTAAAAACCTTGCTGCATGATGCCAATCTTCCAGAGAGTTATTGGGCCGAATCTCTCTCGTGTTTTGTTTACAGTTACAATCGCAGGTTATCTTCAGCGATTGGTTGTACCTCTATGAGAAGATGTTTGGCAAGAAGCCATACATCAAACACATGAAGATTTTTGGTTCTGACATGTGGGTTCGCTCACCACAAAACTCCAAGTTAGACAAGCGTGGATTGCATGGTATCTTTCTAGGTTATCAGAAAGGGTCTTACAGAATAATGATGACTGACTCTAAGACAATTAAGCTCACGAGAAGTGTCGAGTACAATGCAAAGTGGGGGAGAATGTGGGAATTTTCCAATGTTATCCTGATGACGGTGATGAGACTGAGGATAGTCAAAAGCAACCACAACAGCCCACACCCACTGATGAAGGTTCTGAGTCTGAATCTGAAACTGAATCGGGTGATTCAGAGGATTTCGAGAGTGCGAAAGCCTCTATGCGACCCTCTGAAAGCTCTGATCAAGAATTGGAGGAACCATTGTTCACAATAGGTCGTTTTTCTCCTAAGAAGGAAGAGGAGAGTGTTGAAGACTTAAGGCTAATTCGTAGGTCACAGAGAGCCACAAAAGCAAACCTCCAAAGAGATTTGCTGATGAGTTTGCTAAGATAGCAGTAACAGCTGTTAAAAGCTCCAAGAAGGTATTTGAACCTTCAAGTTTCCAAGAAATCCAGGGTTTGGATTCAAAGGAAGCTGAGCCATGGTTAAATGCCATGAAGGCTGAGCTTGATTCCTTAGAAAGGAACAAAACATGGGAGCTAGTTCCAGTAGTTCCAGGAATGAAACTGCTTGGAAGCAAATGGGTCTTCAAAGCGAAGACAGATCAAAATAGCAAGATAGTCAGACACAAAGCCAGATTGGTAGCCAGAGGTTTTGCACAGGTACCAGGTCAAGACTATCACGAGACCTATTCACCCACAGTGAGATATGAAAGCATTAGGCTTATGCTTAAGCTAGCTGCAGAGGAAAATCTACACATTAGTCACCATGATATTAATACAGCTTTTCTGTACGGATCTCTAGATGAATCACTTTATATGCTTCCACCTGATGGCGTACAGGTAAAACAGGGATTTGTTTGTGCTCTGAAGAAATCCCTTTATGGTCTCAAACAAAGTGCACGGTGTTGGCACACAAAACTCACTGAAGTATTGTTTTCTCTAGGTTTTCAGCAAGGGAAAGCTGATCCATGTGTATTTGTCAAAGAGGAGGGGCAAAAGAAACTGTACTGTTTGTTTTATGTTGATGATTTATTATTCTTTTGGAAAGATGTTGCAATGTACAATAGCGCCCTAGCTCAACTGAAAGAGCACTTTGACATGAAAGATCTTGGTGAGGTAAACAACTACCTATCTCTGGAAATAGAGAGAGATCAAGATGGTAACATTCTAGTACACCAGTCACGGAAAATTGCTGATGTGTTAAACAAACTAAATCTGATGGATGCTAACCCTGTAGACACACCGATGACAACAGGTTATCAGGTAGATGACACTGAAGAAGCATTTTCTGACACTACACTGTACAGGAGTGTGCTAGGCAAGCTAAACTTCATTGCCAGATGTTCAAGACCAGACATTGCTGTTAGCTGTAATTTGCTAAGCAGACAAGTCAACAATCCTAGTGTCAAGGATTGGAAAGCTCTGAAACGCATAGCGCGGTATTTGAAAGGCACTATGCATTACAGACTGAGATTTAACAATCAGAAGTCTGGTGGTCTTGAGATATTTGCAGATGCAAGTTTTGGAAGTGACGCTACAGACAGGAAAAGTACGTCTGGAGTTTGCTACATGTACAATCAGAGTCTGTTTGATTGGTCATGCAAGAAGCAAACAACAGTTAGCTTAAGTACTTGTGAAGCCGAACTGAATGCACTGTCTTATTCACTTAAGGATTGTGAATGGTTAGTACAATTGTGCAAAGATATGAAAATTCCTGTCAAATGTCCAATCCAGGTTTACCAGGACAACAAAGCATGTTTGGCTTTGCTGAAGTCTGAAGGTTGTAAGCAAAGCACAAAGCACTTGCAATTAAAGTTGCAGCATGCTAGGGAATGTATTCAGAAGGGACTCGTAACGGTGTCCTATATGCCAGGTAATGAAATTCCTGCTGATGTATTGTCCAAGATTGTATCAAGGGATCAACACTGTACCTATGTGCAGAAGTTGGGTTTGTACTGATATTGTACAAACACGCTGCCCAGTGATGTTCACAGAAAGGGGAGGATGTTAGTTTCTGCTTTCCTTCACTGTGCAGCTCTGCTTGTCACGAGACAGGTGTTTACATTCCACAGTCTGTACTGTTGGAGTTTCTCACGGGAAAGGGAGACTGGATGTGACGTACACTGGTTTCCTGTTTTTCACTGTGTGATTCTCTCCGAGCTGTCGAGGAGAGAGGATGCATTTTCTGCTCCGGCAGAGGCAAGATGTCTTTCTGTAATATACCAGCTTTGAACTGTAAATAAAGCAATATAGAGTATGTAGCACGTATTCCTCATCCTTCCGCTGGGCACCAGACTCTGCTTTAAATCAACAGGCCTATCCCCTTGTTAAATAACGATTACAAATTGTTTGCAAATATTCTAGCTAACAGATTAAAAAACAATAATGAATATATACATCAAGATCAAGCTGGGTTCCTACCAGAGAGACAAATGAAGGAGAATATAAGGCATATTTTGAATATAATAGAATATTTGGAGGCTAAAAATGAAAAGAAAGTGGCAATGATGTTTATAGACACTGAAAAAGCCTTCGATAATGTTTCTTGGCAGTTCATGATAAAGCTGTTAGAACAAATCAGAAGCGGTCCTAAGTTTTTAAAAGCAATAGCAGCAATCTATTCAGAACAAAAAGCCAAACTAATTATAAATCAGGTGATAACGGATGATTGTAAGATCCAAAAAAGAACAAGACAAGGATGTCCGTTATCACCATTATTGTTTATTCTGGTCTTGGAAGTACTTGCCAAAAACATAAGAGCAAATAAAGAGATTACAGGTGTAAAAACTGGGAAAAGTGAAAAAGTCACTCCGTGGATCTTGGCTAATGTCGCTTGTTTGAATAATCTGGTGATAGAAATGCAAACAACAAGAAGAAGCCGTGTCCTACAACAGTACTTGGGACAAAACTGGTAAAAAAAAGGAATACAAAAATGGGCTGTGCTAAATTAGGCGTTTTACAACCCAATTCGTATGTGAGGCAGTTAAGCCAAAGTACCTGGGCTAGAGCCTAATTGCTCATATTTACTTTAATGGGGCTACACTGATGACAACCCGAGTGTCGTGTCTCAACTGTCTTGTGACTCAGGCGGCTTATTAATACAGAGGAAAGCACTGAGAGAAAGCAGGCAGAATGAGAAGGTGAGATTACAGACAAAGACTGTGTGCAGCTCAAATGAGAGCCGTAATGAGAGGCACATCGAACTTAACAAGATGATATTTCAGAACAAAGGCAAGAACAGAGCATTGTTCCTAATTACATTAGCATATAAATGCCCGCACAAATGAACTTCCTTTGTTTTCCAGTGGCTTTGAAGTGCTAACTAGCCAAGCCAACTTGACACCCGTCATCCTTCCTGCTCTTCTTTTTAAAAGTAGATTTGCATTTTGCTCCCACCACTTCCTCCTGAATAGGAATTCTGTAAAACTCAAAAGTTGTACGCTGGGAAAGGAGGGCTGGGCTGGGCTGCGCTGGGCTGCACTGGGGGACCTGTGGGGTGGGGGGACCTGCTTTGTGCCCCCTCAAAAATCTGCCCCCAGTCACAGCCCCTCTGGCACACACACACCCATTCGCTCCTGACTGCAACAAGAGGTGGGAATGCTCTCTTGCTCATAAAAATCAAGCTCTCTTCACACCTATCAACAGAAGTCTAGTGTCCAGATCAAGGGAAGTAATAGTACCACTCTATTCTGCCTTTGTTGGCAGAAACCTTGCCAACAAAGATCCATATAGTTAAAGCCATGGTTTTCCCTGTAGTGATGTATGGAAGTGAGAGCTGGACTATAAAGAAGGCCGATCGCAGAAGAATGGATGCTTTTGAATTATGGTGCTGGAGGAGACTCTTGAGAGTCCCATGGACTGCAAGAAGATCAAACGTATCCATTCTTAAGGAAATCAGCCCTGAGTGCTCACTGGAAGGACAGATCCTGAAGCTGAGGCTCCAGTACTTTGGCCACCTCATGAGAAGAGAAGATTCCCTGGAAAAGACCCTGATGTTGGGAAAGATGGAGGGCACAAGGAGAAGGGGACGACAGAGGACGAGATGGTTGGACAGTGTTCTCGAAGCTACAAACATGAGTTTGACCAAACTGCGGGAGGCAGTTCTGTGAACTGCCTTGAGACCTCCGGGTATAGGATGGTATATAAATTCAACAAATAAATAAAAAATAAATAATACCTTCCAGAGCACGGGAGGTGGGTGGCACTGTGGGTTAAACCACAGAGCCTAGGACTTGCCAATCAGAAGGTCGGCGGTTCGAATCTCCGTGCGATGGGGTGAGCTCCCATTGCTCGGTCCCTGCTCCTGCCAACCTAGCAGTTTGAAAGGACATCAAAGTGCAAGTAGATAAATAGGTACCGCTCCTGCGGGAAGGTAAACGGCGTTTCTGTGCGCTGCTCTGGTTTGCCAGAAGCGGCTGAGTCCTGCTGGCCACATGACCTGGAAGCTGTACGCCAGCTCCCTCGGCCAATAAAGCGAGATGAGCACCGCAACCCCAGAGTCGGCCACGACTGGACCTAATGGTCAGGGGTCCCTTTACCTTTACCTTTACCCTCCAGGGCAGGCAAAGACAAGCTTGCTCCATCTTCTATGTGACAGCCCTTCAGTTATTTGAAGGTGGCTCTCATATCTCCTCTCTTCTTCTCTGGGCTAAACATACCCAGCTTCTTCAAGAGTTCCTCATAAGCCTTAGTTTCCAGAGCCTTGATCATCTTGTTTTTTGTTTTTTTTAAATGATATTTATTGAGAATTCTTTTTTAAATTACACAAAAAAAGAAACAAGACAAAAAGAAAGAAAAAGAAAAAAGTAAAACCATCATTCTCCAATTCTCCACTTTCAATACCTTCTTTCCTTGACCTCCTCCTCCTCCCTTTTCCTGTATCCTGATTTATAATAGTCACAGCAAATCCTTTCCATAATTCATAATATTCTGTCCTTACATTACCTTAGACTATTTTCATCTTATCTTATATATAAAAAAAGTTTAAAACTTAAATCTTAATTTTTACCAACTTCTCCTAACCATAACATTCTTACCTAATTCTTTAAACATTTTTATAAGAGCCAAGTAATTTCATTTCAACATTTTCCTAACATTCATCAATTTTGTAAAACAGTCCTAATGATAGAAATAGAAACTTAAGCAATCATCCAGCATCCCTTCCTCCTGGTCCCGGGTTTTGTCAGTCCTTTTTGTCCTATTAATCTAGTACATTAACCTGGCAATCTTATATCCGAGGCCCTCAAGTCTCTTCCATGTCCCTTCCACAGCTCTTCTTCATATTTTCCTTTTATTCGTGGGAACTCCAGCTTGGTAATGTTTTTGACCCTTTTCAACAAAACAGTCCCTTTTCCATAGTCCAGACTAGACTCGATGTAGTATTTAAAAACATGTTCCAGATTTCCTTCAAAGTTGAAAGCCCCCACTGCTCCAGACATCTGACGGCCCCTTTCCAGACTCGAAAAGTCCAAATCTCCCTGTATCCACCCCCCCATTTCCAAACCAAACCAAATTTTTTCTTTCCAAGTCTGGTCTTTTCCAAGTTCATTTGTCAAATCCAAAAATTTATATTCCTGCTGGGCCGCAGCTCCTTCCGTCTCTGGCGCCCAAGATTCAGCAGAATCCTCATCTCTCAGCTGTTCTGTCATGGCACGCTCCTGTTTTAGTTCCTGGGTGGGCTCCATATAGTTTCCCACTACCTGTTCAAAGATTCTGGCTGTATTCGTCATCAAATCAAAAAGGCACAAAGTTTAATAATGAATGGAATAAATTCATGACATATATTGAAACAGATGTAAAAAATTTAAAAATCACAGTAGGCACGATATAGCGCTTGCGACGCAAAGAAACCAAGAAAGTGAAACTGCAGAAAAAAAACCCTTTTGTAATATAATCCAAAACCGAGCTGAAGGGAAGTCAATTATTGTTGTGTTGTAAAGTTATTTTATGTTTGACTTGTTGGTGTTGCTTATTATGTAATATTGTTTTCTTTCTGTAATGTGTTTTTTGCTCCTTTGTTTTTCTTTTTAGTATGCTTGATTTGTGTTAGGTGCTGTTTAGTAAATTGAAACTAATAAAAAGAAGAAGAAAAACAAAAACAAAGAGAAGTTCTTACTGATGAGTTTATTCAGTCATCACAACGAGAGACAAAGGAAGGCAGTCAGTTTCTCCTCTCTCCCAACCCCCTTCCTACCAACAGCCCTTCTCCTTACGGTGGCCTCCAGGGGCTAATTGTCTCTGAGTCCTTTGCTCTTGCACTCTCAACGAATGCCGGGTTCTGGGAGAAGGGGGGGTTAGAAATAATCTCCAGTGATAACGTGTCAGCTGGCTGTTCTGGCTCTGCCTCCTCATTATCTTCTCCTAACACCTCCCAACTCTTCTGTTTGCGTGTCTCTGCAAGGTTTTTAGCTGGGGCAATTAGAATAAGACCCACCGTTTGACTATTGATTCAAAACCATAAAATGGGTATTTTATATAATTGACTTTTTAATTTTTATTCTTTGTATATCGTATAGTTGTTTTATTGCTATGGCCGATGGCTGACGCAAATAAAGATTCATTCATTCATTCATTCTCTGAGCTGTGACCTTCCTCAAGCCACTGCTTTAATTCTCTCTCTCTCTCTCTCTCTCTCTCTCTCTCTCTCTCTCTCTCTCTATATATATATATATATAAAGTATTTCAACAAAATAATTTTAACAAAGATATATAATCCACATGGTTTCCCCCCCATTTCCCCTCTCCCCCCCGAACATATGCCCACCCTCCCATCCCCACCCCCCCCGACTTCCCTCAGCTCCTATCTCTGGTTTCTCAACATATATTTTTATCTGCATGTTATAAAGTTGTAAAGATCCTCAATTTATCTGTCTGTATATTACCAATAAAGATTTTGTGAATGTTTATTCAAAACCTGCCAAAGAGTCCAATTCGTATTGTTGTTTCTTCAAATATTTCGTAAAAGGTTCCCATTCATCTTTAAAATCACAGTTAGCCTTGTCACGTAGTTTGTGTGTCAGTTTTGCCAATTCCGCATAGTCCATCAATTTTGCTTGCCACAGTTCTGTCGTCGGGGTTTCTTCATTCTTCCATTCTTGTGCTATTAAGACTAAACGACTGCTGTAATTCAATACTGCCTTCCTCTTCTCTGGAAGTTTCAGGAAGGGTGAGGGCGACCTCCACCATTCCTCCTCAATCTCATCCCCTTCAGTCCAGTCCCTGACAAGGGGGTTGGACTAGATTTTGTTGTTGTTTAGTCATTTACTCGTGTCCGACTCTTTGTGACCCCCTGGACCAGAGCACGCCAGGCACTCCTGTCTTCCACTGCCTCCTGCAGCTTGGTCAAACTCATGCTGGTAGCTTCGAGAACACTGTCCAACCATCTTGTCCTCTGCCGTCCCCTTCTCCTTGTGCCCCCCATCTTTCCCAACATCAGGGTCTTTTCCAGGGAGTCTTCTCTTCTCATGAGGTGGCCAAAGTATTGGAGCCTCAGCTTCAGGATCTGTCCTTCCAGTGAGCACTCAGGGCTGATTTCCTTCAGAATGGATACGTTTGATCTTCTTGCAGCCCATGGGACTCTCAGAGTCTCCTCCAGCACCATAATTCAAAAGCATCAATTCTTCGGCGATCAGCCTTCTTTATGGTCCAGCTCTCACTTCCATACATCACTACTGGGAAAACCATAGCTTAGGGTTGCCATATTCCAAAAGGTGAAGATCTTTGCAGCTGTTCAATCAACAACAACAATTAATGGGGGAAATCTCCAAAGTCCCAAAGAACTCAGTGGCACAGAATGTTGAAAGGGGTAGGGTTGGGGGACTGGGCAACAGTGAGATCCAATGACTTGAAAGGTAGGAGGGATCAACCATCTCTGGGGGGTGACTATAGGAGAGGGAGAGGAAAGGAAAATGGGGCAAAGAATGCAATGGAGCTGCTCAGGGCCGGGTTTAGGTTTGATGAGCCCCTAAGCGACTGAAGGTAATGGGGCCGTTTATAAGTCAGTAAGTAAAATAATTAATATAATTATAACATTTATATATAGTATTATAGTAGCAAGTGGGGGTAATAGGGAACTGTACTAGTAAATACAGTGGTACCTCGGGTTACATACGCTTCAGCTTACATACGCTTCAGGTTTCAGACTCCGCTAACCCAGAAATAGTGCTTCAGGTTAAGAACTTCGCTTCAGGATAAGAACAGAAATTGTGCTCCGGCGGCAGCGGGAGACCCCATTAGCTAAAGTGGTGCTTCAGGTTAAGAACAGTTTCAGGTTAAGAACAGACCTCCGGAACGAATTAAGTACTTAACCCGATGTACCACTGTAATAATATAGGCCTACTAAATAATAAAGATGAATATTTTTCTAAAGTAATTCTATAATGGGATCAAAATAAATAAATTGTGTATTACATGAAATCAATCAGTAGGCATAAGACTCATACCCTTAGTCCATGCTGCCTGATCATCAGTCTATAAGCACTCTTTAATATTAGATGACAGGTATGCTGATCGCACAGGGCCCCTGGACGTTTCACCGTCTATTGATCCCTGTGCCACCACTTTATTTCTTGCTGCCACCACCCAGGCCCTACCTGGTACAATACTGAGTCCAGTCAGGGTTAAATTGGAACATGAACTTCTGTTTATTTACTGCAGTTTAACAAGTGTGTGGTTTCATAAATGGTATCGGTCAATTACAATCATAGGGTGGCTATCCGCTACCTGCTCTCACTCACTAAACCGCCTCTCAGATATTTACTTGTCTTCCTAGTTCCTAACTGTTTCTGACTCAGCTTATTTCGCTACACTAACTCAACCTACCCACAGACTCTATTCCAATTCACTCCCACTCCAACCAACCACCCAACTCCCAACAAACTTCTCCCTTTGCCCCTCCCAGAGCTGGTTTTATAGTCCCTCTGACTCCACCCCCTGGGTCCTGATTGGGTAACCTGTTTAACTATTTCACCTCCAGCACTCTCATATGTTAACATCACAACAGGTACAACAGCCACTGGCGGAGGAAGAGGAGTGCGGGGGGAGCGCACCGCCCCTGGCAGCGTGATCCCGGTGGGGGGCCATCGTGGCTGCCCCCCCGCCCGCGGTAGACGCTACACCCCCGTAGGCGAAGCGCCACGCCCCCAGGACGCGTACCAGCCCCGCCCCCACCTGCTCTCTGCCCCCCCGGTGCTGGAGCATGAAGCTCTGCCACTGACAACAGCTTGACCTACATTCAACTGTGTTGCACTGCAGTCTGCAGCTGCATACTACATGTTGCCCTGCAACCAGTCCATGCAGAATGTGGGCACCCTATATATAGAAATGAGCAAACCAGTGATATTTTAGGGAGCAGGCTAGCAGGCGGGGCCCATGACTTACACCATAGGAGCCTACACAACACAAAACACTGTTGCTGTATGTAGGTTTTATTTTATTTGTTTTATCTTATATTTTGGAAATGTGCATCCAGATTTTTTTCCCTTTAAATTTTTTGGGGGCCCCCAAGAGAGTGGGGCCCTAAGCTATAGCTTGTTTAGCTCATACGTAAATCCGGCACTGGAGCCGCTGAAATCCTGAACAGGATCACTCTGTATGTAGGGCTGCCATATTCTGACAAGCAAAAATGAAGATGCTATGATGGCAATTCAAAGCAAATAAATGCAGTTTGTCTCAAATTTTACCCCTGAATTTTACCTCCTGGAAAAAGAGGACACGTGGCAACCCCACAGCAAGATTTTGTGATGGAGCAAGGCAGCCGCAGTCTCAT